AAAACATTGTCATTCCCACATAATAGAACTCCTTCAACAGATTCAGGTAAAGCCCCCACAACATCCACCAAGCAGCATTGCAGACCACACCTTCCAAGCGAATGGGCAGGAAATCAACACATGATTCACAGTTTCGAAGTCAGCATTACAGAAGACACACAAGTTGAAGCAGAATTGTGAAGGACACCAATTCTTTGTAAGTAGACTGCAGTCTTAATTCTATTTTCCCAAGCTAGCCAAGTAAAAATTGAACTTTTGGTGGCAAGTAATGAATCCACACTAATTTAGTAGACCTTAACAAAGGGCTTGCTGAAGCCAGCAAACATGTATAGCAGCAGACAGACAGAGAACACCCCAATGGATGTTGCATTCCACACTAGACAATCTGTTTGATCTGGTACAAGACTAGGTGTTGCTGCAAGGAAGATTCTAAGCCTGAAAAACTCACTAACCTCCACTCATAGAACCTTCTTCTGAACTGACACACCCAATTTCCTTCAGCAACCTTTTGGTCATGCATTGATATAAGTGATTTCCTCTTTATTCACCACCAAACCATACAGACCCGGAAATTCCTCTCTAAGACTTGTCCTATTCCACCATTTGTCCACCCAGAATCTAACATTATTCCTATCTCCAATCTTAAGCTGAAAGTTATTCATGTAATACTCCAAGAGGGTGTTGTTCGACTCTGCAATGGTAATTATACCTTTCCATACACTAGACATGCTACTGGTGGTAGAAATGAAAGGAATCCAATCCCTGAAGTCCACTTTATATTTACTACAAATAACTCTTCTCCACAATGCTTCCTTTTCATACCAAATCTCCACCACCATTTAATTAGTAAATAAGAATTTACCACCCTCACTCTTCTCAACCCCAAACCCCCTTGCTCTAAGCTTTTAGTCAGTTCCTCTCATTTGACCATATGCACTTTCTTTTTACTTCTGATCCTTCCCAGAGAAATGAGGCTTGCAATCTCTCTAATATTCTAGCTACTCCATCCGGCATTTTAAACAAAGACAATAAAACACGGGCGAAGATACAAGAACAGATTTAATTAGAGTGAGTCTACCAGCATGGGATAAAAGTTTGCTCTTCTAGTTAGCTAGTCTGCTTCTCACTTTCTCTACCACTGGTTTCCATGTTGCTTTACAACTGGGATTAGACCCTAAGGGCAGCCCTAAATACTGCACAGGCACCTTCTTGGTCTTACAGTTTAGTATATCAGCAAATCTGTCCAAATAACCATCAGCAACACCCACTCCACAAACCTGACTTTTATGGTAATTAATTCTCAACCTAGACATAACCTCAAAGCACCTTAATATCCTCTTTAGGTTTCTAACCTCCTCCTCTTCAACTTCAACAAACAGTATGGAATCATCAGCAAATTGCAAATGAGACAACACCACACCCTCAACCCCTATTTTCACCCCTTTAATAATACCTAACTGGTATGCCCTATTCAATAACACATTCAAACCCTCAGCCACCAAGTTAAACAAGAATGGAGACAATGGAATCTCCTTGTTGTAGACACCCATTTTTGACCGACCTTAAGATTTAGACGTCATCGATTGAGCGCTCGATGATTGCACATGTTGTGCTCGTTTCGAGGTTTCGGAGTTCTTGGCTGAGAGCCTCGCCTCCAGACCTCGGGACCCTTTGTACTTTGACTCGATCCGCGAACCAGTCTTGTTTTCTCTTCCCGAAGGAGGGAGAGGTCTTGTAGACCATCTCTCAGTGGTCGTAGGCGACTTGTCGTGGTCGCAGGCTATTGTTCCCATTTAGAGGACTAGTTTTCGATTTTCGGAGCCATCAGCCGTGCCCTCGGCTCGGGACCGCTTAACATTCTCCGTTTGGCATGATTTTGGACAACACCTCGTTTCCTCTGTCTAAAGGGACACTGTGGTCCAGGAGAACACTTTTGTGGTTGTACGCCACTTTTGATGCTCGGCAACTGGTTTTCGGGACTCCTGGCCGCGCGTCTTGCTCCCCGAACCCTCGTCTTGCATTCGTTTTGGTTTGTCTTGGGTACAAACCTTACTTTCCTTGTTTGAGAAGTGGTACAAGGGTGGGAGACCAGCTTAATCCTTGGAGGACCACTTTTCTCCCCGCCAACCGATTTTCTAGTCGGAAAACTGGTTTTCTTGGTCTTTGGGCCACATTTTTTGGTTTCCCACCCCACCATTGGCTTGATTTCAGTGTGGAGACCACCAATTCCCCCTACTGACCACTCTTTTTCCTGGGAGACCACTTTGGGTGGTCGGCCGACCACTGAAAGTAGCAGGCCGACACCTTTTCTGGTCGACAGCTTTCCTTCTGTTTTGTAAGACTAAATGGATGCTATCTATGCCAGCTGGAGGGCACAGACTGTATCCTCCATACACGTTGCATCCAAGTTTTAGCTTCTTGAGGAAGCTTTAACTTTGCTCCTCTATAAGAGAGGCTCTCCCTCCCCATTCAAAGGTTCTGAATTTTGCCTAAGGCACAAGTGTATATCTCTCTCTATATCTCTATATTTGGTGCCTAAAGTGTGTGTGGTTCTTCACCTTTACACCACAACTCTTAACCATACACCCCACCATTGAACTGAGGTTCTTGGAGGACCTTTTTGGGAGGTTGAAAAGTTGGTTTTTGGCTGAAAAACTTCACTACTAGAAATTGCACTTTAGGCGACTACTTTTGGCGACGACGTCAATTTTCATAGCCAAAAGTATATTTTTGGCGACACAGTGATGAATTTCGTTGGTAAAAGTTGACCTTTACCGACGCAATTTACTACCGTCGCTAAAAAAACAAAACATTCGCCAAGCGCCAAAATTATTAGTTGGCGCCAAAATTTCAAATTTTAGCTACGAGGCTTATTTTTTGGCAACACAATGAGCGTTGCTATTAGTGTGCTTACTTTTGGCGACGACAAGTTGACGTGGGTAAAGAGTTAAACATTTAGCAACGATAACACTATTCGTTGGTAAAAGTTTTGCTAGTAAAACGAGGTGATTTAGTGATTTTTTTTTTTATTATAACTTTTGAAAAGAGTTTTAAAATATTCTTAGTTATTGAATTGTAAAATTAAAATGATCATTGAATTAGATCACAAAATGAACCATCAAACCCAAACACACTTTTAAGTTGAGATGACTAATTTGAGATAATTTGAACTTTTTCAAAGAATGTGGTTAGATTATCAATTTCAATATGTTTGGTTTTATTTTTAAAAAACTAGTTTCAAATTGTTTTTTTCAAAAAAACAAAAAAAAAATTGGGTGAAAAAAATAAAAAAATACTTATTATTTTTGTATAATTTTATCTATTAGGTCATAAGTAATTTTTAAAATTTTATAAATATATTTTTGATTTGTATTACTCTCAAATTAATTTTATTTTTTTAAAAAAATAAATCTAAAAATTGTTTTGGATTTTTTTTTTTTTTTTTTTGAGGGAGGGGTGATCTGCCTCTGTGAGTCGGTGGCAATTTTCCTCTCAAAATTCCACTGTTGAAACCTTCAACATTTATGGCTACCAAATTTCTTAGTTGCCTTGAAATTATTTGTCAAAACTACGCCGTTTTGAATGTTGTATGTGCCCTATTTTTATTTTTTGCTCAGAATGTTGTATGTTGAACACTTGAAACTCCATTCTCATTCCCTCACTCTCGTGGCCTCGAACGGCACAGGTATGTCCTCTTCTCTTTTCTTCTTCTTCTTCTTCTTCTTCTCTCTTTCTCCCTCTCGCTCTCACCTCTCGCAGCGCCGACTGCACTGCATTGGCGCTGCTCCTTTGTCTTCCTCTCCTCTGTTCTTCTGCTCTTCTCTTCGTTTCTCTCCCTCCATCTCGCTCTCCCTCTCTCACAGCGCCAACTGCACTGGCAGTGGCGCTGCCCTTTTTTTTTTTTTTTCCTTTCCTTTCCTCTTCTGTTTTTCTCCTCTTCTCTAGCTAGGTCGCTGCCCTCTCATTCTCCTCTGTTTTTCCTTTTTTTATTTAGCTGCTGTATGTTTGGGTTTAGTGTGATTTTGCTTAACTTTTTTAGGTTTGCTGTGGCACAATCAGGTGATTGGCCCCTCTTCTATCACAGGTAAGCGATTCACATCTTAGGGTTTTTCATCCCCAAACCTAATTTTCCAACCACATGATTGCTTGCACTTGCAAGATTTGGTTGTTTTTTATTCTCTTTTCTTGTTTTTGATGGGTTTGGAGGTGGCTATATATAGAGCTTCCTATCGCAATAGACTACTGGAAATGCTTAAGGAGATCATAATTGAAGAAAAATGACACTTTAAGATTTGTAGAAGAAGAAATACGATAACTAAAAAATGAGATTTCATCAATTTGAATTTTCTAGGTTTTAAATTTCAAAAAATATTAATATTGGTTGAGTTCTACTTTCTGCAATCTGCATAATAATGATAAATTAGTAGCATACAAAACGTGGCATAGAACTATACTAATGTTGTGATTATGAGACAATATATTGCTTCATAATATTAAGTATTATTATAAAGTTCACTAGGTGCCGTTGTGACATTGAAAAGATCTAATGGCACCTTCTGCAAATTGTTTGTCTTATGTTGTTCTAAGTCTGGCAGTGGA